CCGCGTCACGCCCTCACAACCGACGGCGGTTTCCCCGGTCGCACGCCGGTGCAGACTCGCCGCCCGGCTCAGAACCCGTGCTTCCTTCCCGCACTACTCCTGTCACGCACGGTCCACCTACGCGTGCCGCACGTGGCCACGGTCGCTACCTTCCGTCCCTTTGCGTCCTGCGGAGCGGCCGAGGGGAGAGGCTCACAGCACGTCCCGCTGGCCCGCCCGCTCGCCACGTCTCCCGAAGCCTCTCGTTCCCACGGCCTCGGCGCGGGCGCCGGCAAGCATCGCGCTTCTCCACGCCACGGGCCCGACGGTTGCGTCCACGCTGCCTCACGCAACTGCTTTTTCTCTCCACTCGGTGAAGAAAGGAGAGAACTCGGAATTCTTCCTGCCTGCCGATCGCCCGCTCGCCCCCACGGGGCTCGCTGCTGTCCGCGTGGATGTGGGTTCTCAGCTCTGTCCGGGTCATCGGCTCCGTGACCGAGGAGCTCCCTTTGGGGTTTCCCGCGAGGGCAGCGAGTTCTCTCAGTTCTCGGCCGGGACGTCTTCTCCGAGCTTCGTTTGCGCCACAGCTCCACCTGGCTGACGGCCTTCTCTCCCGTGTGGCAGCGTGCCGCCCCGGGGCCTGGGCGGCGTCTGCCTTGCGCGCTCCCACCGCGATGCGTCCGGGTGTGGCTCTCTGTGCTGAGCCTGCTTGGAGTCCGTCAAGATTTCGGGAAGTGTTAGAACGTCTTCTCTGCGATCTGGGAGGTTTTCTGCCCCTGGCCCTCCCCTCCGCGCTCCGACGGCTCCCGCTGTGGGAAGGTCGGTGCGCTAACCGGGGCCCCGCGTCTCTGAGCGCGCGCTCCCCTGCTCGTTCTCTCTTCCGTGGTTCGGACGGACCCCCGGAGCACATTTTCTTCCTCGCTGCCCTTCTCAGCGCCGTCCGTGTACTAGCTCTCGTCCTCCCGCACGGCTCCTCCGGCCCGGAGCGCGCCTAGGGTGGCCGCCGGGAGCCGCTCTGTGAGCTCGGACGTCGGGCCGCGCTCCTGGGCGTCTTCCCTTGAGTGGAAGCGGTCGGGTCCCGCCTCTCTGGCCAGGGAAGCTGCTGCGGCCTGGTGACCGGCGAGCCCATTTTCCTCCGTCTGAGGCCCAGGGCACAGCCCGTTAGAAGAGAAGAGCACGTTAAAATGAAGCCACGGCGACACCAACGCTCACCTGTCGTGTTGGCCGTTAGCTGCCACCAAACGCTGTGCCACAGCAAATGAGCGTCATCACCTGCTCTCATGGAAGACCATTCGGCCTTCCACGGAGGCACGAGGCCACCAAGTGCCGGCCTAGAAACGCACGTGAGGAGCACACCCACACACCAGCACGACCAGCACACGTGGTGTTCACTCCAGCTTCGTGTGAAACAGGAGACAAAACCACGTACGAGACACAGGGGAGGTGGCTCCTAGAGCAAGGTCAGGGGGCAGGGCCATGACCCGACTGCAGGGAACACAGGGGGTGCACATCCTATATTACACCCCAGGTGCCAGAGCCACCGCTGGCCACACGGGGGAGATGCCCCACTAGCTTCCACAGGACAGGACGTCCTCGGGTCAGCAACGCCCCAGACTTCTGTCCCGACCACACGCCTGCCCGGAGCTGAAGGGGACCCCGCCCGGGTCCACCGACACCACAAGCACTTTTCATGTGTGCCAGTGCCCCAGAGCATTTTAGTGCCGTCTGTCCCGACGCTGCAGTGAGACTGGGGGAACCTTCTGGAAGGACGAGACCTGCACAGACTGTGGGAGAGCCCCCCCAGCTGTCCGTACGTCTGCAGCGCAGGCTGGAAAGGGGGAGAGAGCCAGCAGGACTGGGCGGTGTGAGCCTGGGACGCGTGTCAGCGATTAGCCGTCAGCCGTGGATTTCTGTAACGTGAGAGTTACCGACCACGTTATGCTATGTTCTTTGGCTGTTAACGAATTAATAATTGGTTTGGCAGAAATACTGTCCTTTTCGCGTGTGTGCTAACTCTAGAAGCGATGGAAGTAGAGTCTTACATCGAGTTCTAAGTCGCCTCTGCCGAATGCGAGCACAGAGCGCCGCAGAGGGTCCCAGTGCGAGACCCGGGCCACCGTGTCCGTGCCAGCCGCCTCACCAAGTGGTGGGGACAATGATGCATCTGTACGGTGTCGCAAACAATTTGAAGGTAACTCATGTGAGCAAATGCTTTTCAAACAATGAATCATTTCTTGGTAGACAAGTAAAAATTACCACCCTTCTCCTTCCAGTAAAACTGGCTTTCAGGTTCAAGGGACAAGAAGATCCGTGGAGCCGCTTGGCCTCGTGGAACCAGCAGGAGGTGATGCCGAGCAGACCTTCCCGTGGGCGCCAGACCTGCATCACTGTCATCACACGCGGGGAAATCATGAAACAAAGGCCTCCCACGTGCAAAACACAACACAAAAAACCCCAAAACGTTTTAACTTCAAATAAAAATACCATCATGTAAAAACTTAAACAAACTTCACTCCACCTCTAGTACCATTAAACGAGAGTAAAATACAGCCAGAAAACCACACTCGCCAACTTTCCTGGCAAAGAAAGAAACGAGGCCCCCACGCCCAAGTCCCCCGCGGCAGCTGATTGGGACCCGCTGTGCACCCCGTCCGTCCGACCCCAGTGAAGGGTCAGAGCCGTGAGGCACGTCTGGAAACACCGAAGCTTTTCCAACAGCCACACGTCCGAGTTCCAAAGCATCAGGAGCTGGTAGCTGAAGGCCGGGCCATCACCTTCTGGGAGGAGCGGCCACTATGGCTGGGAGGAAGAAAGCGCTGTGGGAAGTGAGAGACTCTGACTTACTCCCCAGCTCTCCGGAGGCTTAGGGGCCGGGCTCCCAGGACGCCTGGCGCCCACTGGGGGCTCAGCCCGCGGCACCCACCACCACACACCTGAGGACCTCAAGCTCCTGTGGCCATGTCGGCACCTCCTGCGTGGACGCTGTCCACGGGACGGGCCGGACGCCGGGCTTCCTCTGTCTCAGCATTGAGCATGCTGGACCCCACAGAGACAGGACACCCAGCCCCTCGGGACCAGAACCGCGCTGCTCCGCGGTCCCGTCCAGACGGCCAGCACCCAAACCACATCAAAGCAAAGGCTCTTTCCAGCAAGCCCCGGTGCCTCTTGTTTCTGGGCACACCGGAGCAGATGGGCACTCTCGGCCTGCCCAGCGCCTGCGTCCACTGCCCCACGAGCACAGGCTCCTTCCTGCGGGCTCCAGCCAGGCCTTTCTGGGTCTTTGTGAAAACTGCTCTGAATTTATTTCCTACGTGACAGAGAAAACAAGCTCAACCAGAGCGCGCTCCCCATCCCCGAGAAGCCATCACCACCCTTGGCATCAGCCAGCACCACCACAGAGGTCCTCAGAGTGGGCGGGAGGTCGGCTCCTCGGAAACCCCAGCGGGACCTCTGCATGGAGAAGGCGACACAGCTCAGCACAAGCATTGTGCTTCTCATCAAAGTTGCGTCCTAAGACGACCGGAGAGCACTTCAACGTGGCTGGAAAAGTCTGCCGTGGGACCAGCAGGGTGGCCCCGTAGCACAGCTGCGGACGCACGGACCTTCTCCGAATAAAATTCCGACACACGGACAACGCATCTCTACGTCCCCTCCGTGTGCTGCTAAAATTTCTGGCCCGATCCTGTCTTCTAAGTGGACTGGCTCCAGTACACCAAACTCTCTTCAAAAGCACTTACTCACCTACAGAACGTCTTCGGGTCAGACCAGGTGGCTTATAAAGAAAAGAGCCCCCACACAAGCAAGGGAGGGGGGCTGTTATGTGCAGCTACGTGCACAGGCTGTGCCGGCCTGCCAACGCCCCCATTTCAAAGGGGAAAATGAAGACACGGGGAGGTTCAAGGACTCGCCCACGGTCGCATGGCTCACAGGAGGCTCCAGACGCGGTTCTGAAACCTGATACCGGGGACGCGTGTCTACTCGCTTCTCACGACGGCAGGGTCAGGCCCTGCGAGGAACCCCCGGCCTGGCACGAGCAGCCGTCTGCTCACACAGGTGGTGCCCAACACTCCCGAACACAAGGGGCGGGACGGAGATGCCCGTCAGCAGGGGAGAGAGGCTCGCGCAGCACCAGGTGCCCCGCCAACGCCACACGCAGACAGACCCGGAGCAAAGCCGTCTGGACTCTGAGGGACACAACTCCCTCCCCGGGCTACGGAGCGCCCGCCCCGCAGTCAAGCAAGTGTGGACAGAGCGAGGAAGGCATCTCCTGATGTGCCAAATTCGTTTGCCTCCCACGCACCCTGGTCCACGAAGCTCCTGGAAGATGCATCTAGTCCACCAAAGTAAGAGAGCAAAGAAACAAGATGTTGGAGCCGGGGAACGGTGAAGACGTCTCCGGAGGTGGAGACGACAGTCCCCAGCAGGCTGTAGGGCCCGAAGGGGAGGCTCGGGACACTCGGGACAGCGGTTCTGGCTCCGGGCAGACCGAATTGAGCCGCAGTGGGGAGAATACTTAGAAAAAGGCAAAAAGGAAGGAAACTGAGCTAAGAGAACATGATGTGATGATCAAATCCAAGCGAGACAGAAAGATGCTTCAGAAAAGACGTAGAATCCTGGTGCGCCGTTTGGTCTGGGACAAGATGCAGTCACGTGGACACTGAGCCACCACCGGCAGGCACGGTCAGGTCACCCGCGCCATAACACAGCTGGGCACGTGAAAAATCACCAACTGCGTCAAAACGTGCTGGCCATGGCGTCGTCCTGCCCTCCGCGGCGGGGCTGCCCGGGGCAGGCAGGCGGACGTCTTACCACTTACACTTACACGGGGGAAAGACTCAGATCTCCGTGAGTAGCAACTGAAACAATAAAGACTGTGATAAAAATTCGCGTCACCATAAACATAACATTCTGAAATGCTAAAGCCTGAAGGATCTGTCACGTTACCGCATCGCGCCTGCAGACCTCGCCTGGGCCGGCCCTCACCTGCCCCCCTCACCGGGCCCTCACCCGCACCGCCTCACCTGGGCCCCCGGCTGTCTGCTGTGCTCCTCTCGCTGGATGCTGTGGCCTCGAGCGTGGCCCGGGGCTCCCGGGGCAGTGGCCGCTCCTGCGGCCCCTCCTCCTCCGGCCTCCTCTTCTCGCTGTCGCTGTCATCACTGCCCTCTCCTAGGATGTCATCCACCTGGCAAAGGGGGAGAGTCAGGGCACACACCCGACGCCTACGACCCGACCCCCACGGCAGGGCGGCGCGGCCCCATCTGGTCCCGACCACGTGCGCTCGCCTTGGGCACAGCTGCGAGTCTAGGTGCGTGCCAGGCCGAGTCCGAGATGGGTGACGGCCCGGACCTTTGCAGCTGGCACGTGAGGTGGGCCAAGAAAGCAGAAAAGGCCCAGGCCGTCCCTCTAGCGGGGGGGAGGGGGGGGGCCCTCCTGGGATCCCAGGACCCCAAGGGTGACCCTGGGGCAGGACATGCGGACAGCCCGACAGTCACTTCTCGGCGGCAAGACTCTAACAGGATTCTCTCTCCGGTGCGCTGACGAACGCTGTGGTGAAGAATCGAAGCTTTCTGTTAAAATGCTCATGATCGGGAAGCCGCACTCGACTGCGTTCCAGGAGGCACTCTGGAGTCTGGGGAGGGGGACGGCGGCCGCTGCCAGTGGGGCCCAGCTGTGTCCCCAGAGGCTCAACAGAGGGTGTCCGTCCCCCTGCCTGCTCCAGGGCGCTTCTTTTCTCCCACAGACCTCACGTTTAACCTTCACGGACGTGCCACGGGAGGGTGACGGGAACTAACGGCCATGGCCCAGGGTCAGCGCTCCCTGCTCCCCTGCAGCCTGGGGGAGGTCGGCTGCCCAGCAACCCGAGTGCCGGGCCCCCAGGGACGCCCACCGAGGGGATGGAAGCTGCCTCCTAACAGCCGTCGAATGGCGGAAGGAGCAGTGACGCCACATTCGGGGGAGCCTGGAGACAGAAGATGGGGTCTAGACTGGGTCCTGCTTTCCACCTGTCTGACCTTGGTCTCCGTGCCTTTCTCTCAGATCCACCACTCTTTCAGCAAAGACACCGGATGAGATAAAAATCAGGTGGACAGGAGAGAAGAAGGGAAGGAAAAGGAGACAGCACACGGCCACTGCAGACACGTCACGCGTCGTGCCGATTCCTCTGGGTTTCCGAGCACCCGCCTCCAATTCCGCTCTTGGAACACTGTTTTCTCAGAAAGCGATGCTTCACTGGTGCAGCTGATACTGTTCTTTTTCTTGGTTCTAAGTTAATATGTGATGGAGAAATTGTGCGGCCCCCCGTCGGGTGGGCTGGGGGTCGCGCAGCCCACGGGCAGCACAGCCAGCCTTTCAAAGACCCATTCGCGGTCACAGCAGCCGAGCCCGGCAGGCAGACATTTCTGGACTCCACTCCCAGGTTCCAAAGCTCTGAGGCAACGCCTCTGTGACGTCCTGAACACCCGGACGAACGCCTGAGAAGTGCCAGACTGTGTCAAGATGGTAACGTCAACTTATTTAAAACGGCACAAAGTGGAGTTTGGAGAAGACCATACTAACACTACGCGTCGCTCAGCCCTCAGTACCATGACTCAGAGCTGAAGATGTTCCCCCCCCCCCCCCCCC